TACCAAATCCTCCTGATTCTTGGTGTCTCTATTCCAGCTTTTCCATGCCTGCCACCATTTCCATAGTTTAAGCTACCATCATCTTTGTTGCTTACATTGCTACGAAACCTTCTCACTGGTGTTAGGCCCCAGCCTCTGTGGTCCATTATCAAACTGGGCCAGAATGAATTTTCTATACTATCATTGCTAAAACCTGTCAGTAGGTACCCCCTGTCCCCAAGATAAAAGTCCCACATCTATATTTCTTAGCAGGGCACACAAAGGCCCTTTATGTTTGGGGCTGCTTCCCTTAATATCCTAAGTGCCTCATCCTAACTCTCAAATTTGTGATCCAGACAATTCAGAGCATCCTGAATCCCCACCACTCTCTCTACTCTTCACCTCCACCTCTCCTCTCCTCCAGCTTAGAAGTCAACCAGAGGAACCTTCCCTTACCCCTTCCTTCCTCGCCTACCTAGGACACTGTGCATACTCTTTTCTTAGCATTTACCACACCACAGTAATGGCTGGCTCACTTATTTACTTCTTCCACTGTACTGGAAGCTCCTGAAACACAAGAGCTGTGTCTTTTTTTACGGTTGTTCCTCAGTGTTCAGCTAGTGCCTGGCATATGGTGGGGCAATGAATGAATGAATGAATGGTGATAATACCCACTGGCTGTAAGGAGCAAAGAGAAGATGGCTGGTGGGTACAATGTGTTTTAATATCCATATAACTGAACTGAGGAATCTTTACATGTCACCCCCCGCCCCCCACTTCCCCTTCCTTCACTGTTCTGATTGAAGGAGAAACCAACACCATTAGCAGGAAGGGGTCAGCACTTAATTGAAGTAATGCTTACTATTGCCTAGGACTTTCTTTTACTCATGTTTAAGATGACAGTTTTCCGTGCCTGGTCCTGTAATGATGTAAGCTAAGGGAAAGGCTTAGAAGGATCCATACTTCTGCCTAGGCACTTGTCCACATTCTGTCTATAACCTCAGTGAATCTTCACAGACAACCTACAATTTTATTTCCTCCATTAAAGAGTCTTGACTGCCTAAAATGTCTGCACTGGACCACAAAGATGATTATGACATGGCTACCATCTTGAAGGAGCTTTTATTTATACATATAGTCTACTTGTCTTTGTCTTGCCGTCCAAGCCTTTTGAGAGCAGGGACCTGGCCTGTCTTATTCATTGCTGTTGTCCCAGTGCCTACAACACATAGTAGGTGCTCAACAAATGTTTGTTGAATGGAGTGGATAAACGAGCAACACAATGTTTATTGAATGAGGATGTAGCCATAGGCAAGGGTATATCTGGGTGGGAGATGAGGTTTATCTCCTAGGCAACAGGAGCAAAGGATCATTTCTTAAGTAGGGATTGGATCATGACTTTCAAAAAACCCACTCTGGTTTCAGTGTGGAGAGTTTGCCACTGGGGTGCCAGCTGGGCTGGGGTGGGGGGTTGGGTGGGGAGAGTGTAAATTGTTTAACCCAAGCAAGAATTGATGACAGACTGACCTAGAGTGACAGTTGAGGGGTACAAATGGAAAGTGAGGGAAGAGAGACATTTCTGACGCAAAACTGCTCAGACCTGGGGACCAACTGGATCCAGGGCTTTGGGGGAGATGGTGAAGGCTGGATGGGAGACGAGAAGCCCATACGGGAAGAAGTAAAAACAAGGACTTTAGTTTTGGTTACTTTGAGTCTGAGATGCCTGGGTAACATCTTTCTCTGAATCTCTAGGAATTGTGCCACCACCACACTGTTCCTCCTACCCCTTTTCTCTTTTCTTTCCTGTTTTGAATCACTCCCACAAGCCATAAATGCTCCCTGCTTCTCGGCGTGCTGGGGCACCATGCCAGCAGGGCCCACATTCAGTTCAGACCTGGAGGGCCGACTGTGGCCTCTGAGGATGGCAGCTCCCTGACAGGAAGGAAGGCTGGCTTGCCGGCTGGGCACAGACAGGAGCTTGCTTTGCTGCAGCAGGTGCCCAGGGCCAGCTGCTCCAGTACCCTCAGGCTCACATCAACAGGATGGGACAGCCCAGGCGGAAGGAAGCCTGCAGGGAGGGACACCGATGCAGACAGAAGCCGGGGCAGGGGATGGAGAGGAGACAGGAAGAGCTGCCTGAGCTGTTGGCTGGCGCCCCGCCAGCAGATTCAGGAGCGGCAGTGACAGGGGGCCACTGAGTCCTCTTTCCCTCTGTGATGAGCATCTCTGGCCCTGGTTGATTGTATTGTTATTACTACTACTGTTGTTGGCCAGCCTGGGCCTATTTCTAAAATAGTTAATTGCCTTTTTTCCCTTTCTTTCTCTTTCTTTCTTTCCTTTGTTTCTTGTTTTTTTTTTTTTTTTTTTTTGGCTGTGCCGCACAGCTTTTGGGGTCTTAGTTCCCCAAGGAGGGGTTGAACCCTGGCCATGGCAGTGAAAGCGCCCAGTACTAACCACTGGACCTTCAGGGAATTCCCTAGCTAATTCCTTGTCTATACTCAATTTTGTGATTATTGGGAAAGAAAGGACACTTCCATTAGCCTTTCAGTTACACAGAGCAGTGAGAAAGCTCGAGGGAGGGGCAGTGGTTTCTGCCCCGTGTTCAGCCTGTCCACAGGAGATAAAATCTCCAGTTTGCTTTAAGCCGCGTTATCACCACCCTCCTCTCCAACAACAGCAGCTGCGAACGGGCACCAAATGGCCAAAAGGGGGCCAATAGGGAGCCATAACAGACCCATAGGCTCGCAATCCGGAGGCCGCAGACCGCTTCTGAGCGGGGTCGGAGGTCGGGGTTGCAGCGCGGCGGGGGGGGGGGGGGGGGGGGGGGCTTTCGCGGGCCGGGGGGGGGGGCGTTCCGTGTCGGGCGTGGTGGGCATTCCCACTGCTACCCACTCGCAGGCGGGCCCCGGCTGGCGCCTGGTGACCCCGGGAGACCCCGCCCCGCCCCATCCCCACCAGCAGTTTCCTGGCAGGGCGTTTCCGGAGGCCCTGGCGCGGGGTGGGGGCGTGGGGAGGGGTAGGGTCTGCCTTTGAGACAGCTTGTAGAGTGCACTTTAAACTTCACACCGAGCTCAAAACTCGATTCTGCAGCCGAGCTTCGGCTCCTGGGAAAGATAAAAACTCTGGTCTACGGCCCCCCATCATCCCATTGGTCTAGTTCTCGGGGCTTCCTGCAGTCCCCACACCATTCTCTCCACAGCCTGGGAGGAAGGATGGGCGGGGCGGACGGGGGCGGGCAGTGCTGCCGGCGGTGCAGCTGAGGAGGGCGAGCCAGCTCCCGCGGCCCGGGCGTGGGCGGGGGGCGCCGGAGCAGGTGTCCGCTCAATGACAGGATACCCTTCCCTCTCCGCCCCTCCCTCGTGCTACCCACGGCTCAGCGAGGCAAAACCCAGCATATGCTCCAGAAATGCAGCTCAGTCGGTCACCGGGCTCCGCTTTCTCGCCAGACGCGCAAGAGATCGGCGCTTCCAAATGCAAATCTCTTGGCTCCGGACCCTTGGCTTGCAGCCGCCGCCTCCCCCGCTTGGCTACCCCGCGTCCCGCCTATCCCGCAGCGGCCCGAGATGGGACCTCGCGCCGAGGGGACTGGGCGGAGCGGGCATCCCACCCCACCTCCCACGTGGGGCCGGCCCTCCGCAGTGCCTGGGCGCGCCGCCGCTGCCGCGCCTCCGGTCTAGGTCCTCCGCGCCGCCCCCCCAGGCCAGGGAAGGGGACCGCAGGCGGGGGTGGGTGAGGGGTAGGGGCGGTGTCACTGAGTCAGGTGGCGGCGGGAGTTCCCTCGGGCTGGGCCGAGGGAACACGCTGCCGGAGATTGTGTACACGCTCCACTGACACAAGCTTCACGCTGCCGGGCAGCCGCTGATCACGCGTGGCCCCGCGAGCCCATTGGCCGGCGCCTCACACACCTTTGTCACTGATTGGCCGGCGGAAGGCTCCGCCCCCACCCCCGCCCGCGGCGCGGGGCAGGCGGAGCGGCTACCTGAATGGGGAGGGGGCAGACGGCGCGGAGCGCGGCGGTGGCGGGAGCGGCGTCGAGTGTCTCCGAGCGTCCGTCTGTGGCCAGGCAGCCAAGCAGCCAGTCAGCTCGCCGCCGGCGGCCAGGCAGCCAACCATGCTGAACTTCGGCGCTTCTCTCCAGCAGCCTGCAGTAAGTGACCTGGGGATGCCCCAGCCCTACTCTGCCTCGCTGAGTCTGAGGGGCCCCCGGGGGCGCGAACCCCGAGCCCCTGACATTAGCCTCGCCTGAGGACTGAGGCTGCAGCGGAGTCGTGGGAGAGGAAGGGGCTTCCCGCCTGCAGACTGGGCATTAGTGAGGGCGTGTGCGTCGCGGAGGGGCTCAGGAGAAGCAGGCGGGTAGCTAGAGACGAAAGGAGAGAGGGTCTTGCTCAAGGTGTAATGAGGGGAAGGGGCAGCTCCGCTGCGAGACTTGAAGCAGGTGAGGGGGAGGATGACTGGAGGGGCGGGAAGAGTGAGGAGGGGGCTGCTGCCCTGTCAGTGAGAATAAGAGGTGTGGAAGGGGAAGGGGGACAAGGGGCCACCCTGCACCTGGCGCCGGGGAGAGATGCCTCCGTCTGGATAAGGAATGCGACCCAGGGTGGGAGGGGGCTGCCCAGAAGCTTTTGAGGGGCGGGGTGTCCGCTGGAGAGGAGAGGGGGCTCCCCAACTCGGGGCTCTGAAAGGAGGCTTGCAGGACGGGGCTGCTCAGCAGATAGCGGGGGCTGGGGGAGGGGCGCCCGGCGTGGGTGCGGGGGATGGCACGTGGGCCCGGGACCGCCGAGGGGGACCGGGGAGTTGCCCCCCCGATACGGCTGGAGGAGACTCCCCATCTCGGGAGCGGGCAGGTGGCCGCCTTCTGAGGACGCCTTGGAGGGGGGAGGGAGCCGCCTCGGCGACAGGAGATGGGAGGGTGGGAAGCGGGACCCAGCAGCGGGGCGGGGAAGGTGGGCGGGGGGAACCGGGCTGCGAGACGCGGGGGCAGCGTGTCGGGGCGGGAGCCGCAGGCCGTGGAGCCGAGCGTCTGGAGCGGGGCCTGTTGGGGCTGCACGTCTGGGAACTCGTGGAGACACGCGGCTGGCGGGGGCCGGTGCTGCCGGAAACCGCGGGGAGGGGACGCGCATCTTCGGGGACAGTCAGGGTGGTCTGAGGTCCCGCGGGAGGCGTGGGCGGGAAGCGCCGAGGGCTCGGCCGGGTCCCCGGGGGCTGCAGCCGGAGGAGGGCGGGGGCCGGGTTTCCGCGGGGACCCGGCTCCTCCTCCGGCAGCTGAGGCGGAGGCTGGGGGTGGGCCGGGAGCGGATGCGCCCGGGGAGCTTCTCGTCCCTGAGTGACCCAGTCCCGGCCTCCGCCAGAGGCGGGAGTGAGGCCCGGCCCCGCTGTCGGTTCCTAAGGGAACGGCGGCTCGCGGGGAGCTGGAAGGGGCGGGCGCTCCTGGAGCCCGGCGCCCGCGGCTCCGCCCCTCCCCGCGGGCTCGGGCGCGCACTGCCGGGCGGTTGGCGGCGGCGCCCGCGGCCCCTCCCCCGGGCCGTCGCGAGGGCGGGGGCCCGCGGGCTCAGGAAGTAGGTGAAAGGTGACGGCGCGGCAATTCCCAGTTCAGGTTTCCTGCGCCGCCCGGAGCAGCCGCTGATCACGCTTTGTTCACATGCCTCGCCCCCTCCTTCTCCTCCTCCGCGACCCCGCCCTTCGCGGCCCAGCCAATCCCAGCCCGGGCCGCCCGGCCTGCTGGCCAATGGCGGGGGCAGGGACGCGGGGACGTGCGAGCGGCGAGGAATGTTCCCAGTGACTCACCCGCGAGCCTCATTGAGGCTAGGGCGGCCCCATCCGTCTGTCCCAGCCAGCGAGGATCTCCCCCGCCGTCCGCCCCCGCCCCTCGTCTGCCTTCCCCTCCCGCGCCTCCGCCCGCGCTTCCCTTTCCTGCCTCTCTCGCGGCCCACTCCCTTTCCTCCCCTCCCGACTTCTCCCTGCCCTTCCCAGCTCACACTGTTCTTCCCTGCTGGCCTGCCTTTTCTCTTTTTTCCTTTGCACTGGCGTCTTGAGGATTTTACACAACATGCGTTGTCCGTTGCAGCTTACATAAAGGGCCCGCGATTATGCAATTGCATTGTTAGCGATGTTTCAAGAGCGATGGTTTCTTAAGGCTTCAGTACGAAGGGTTTATGCGTTTTTTCCAGCAAGTGTTGAGATTAATACCTTGCCACGTAAAGACAATTGTTCTGTGTTTTTACACAATCTCTGCTTTGACCAATGAATGGGATCACATTGGTGGAAAATTGGAGAGATGGAGGGTAGTAACTTTTAGTGCAGTTTAAGGAACTTTAATATGAAGCATTAAATACCTAATAGAAGGAGTTGTTCAAATATAAGGCATGTGCTGTTATTTTTGTCAAGGAGCAGTTCTTTAAAAAAATTAAAATAAGATTCTATTTTGACTATTGAAGATTTCTTACAATCAGAGTTCTTGCAAATTTAAGTCGCATATTAAATTTTCTGATTATCTCTTTTTTGTGCTATTGCATTAGCTGGTCATAGTTACACATAGCAAACCATTGTGTTAAGTGTAAGATCCAGTGAATGAGAACACAAACATGAAGAAGTTGAAATTATTCTTTCCAAAGGTCACACCCAAATCAACAGACCACAGCTCTGTCCACTATACTTTGCCTTTTTAAAAGAAAATTTTGGCCGTTTATTTTTTTCTAGTAGGAAGTCATACCTGAAAAGATCTCATACCATACCTGTAGTGTTTCTTTTAATGATTTAAAAAAAATATTTATTTGGTTGCCCCGGTCTTAGTTGCCGCACGCAGGATCTTTAGTTGAGGCATGCATGTGGGATCTAGTTCCCTGACCAGAGATCAAACCGGGCCCCCTGCATTGGGAGCCTGTTGTCTTAGCCACTGGACCACCAGGTCCCCATACCTGTAGTATTGAAAAAAGATGACTTTTTTGTAGAGCCTTCCCTCAGTTATTTTGTCTGACTCCTGTTGCAGTTGACTACTCTGGAAAGAATATAAAATGTTTTTTTTTTCTAAGCCAAGCAGTTCTTTTTTGGATTACAAGTGCATTGGTACCTTTGGCCTTGGTCCTCATAATGGTAATAAGTTCCTCTTTACCTTGCAAGGGTATCAGTGTTCAGGCCTAAGTGTGAGAGGAAGAATGAGGAAGACTTTTATCAGTATTACTATCAGAGCGGGGATGAGAAAAATTATTTCAAGTTTTATTTTGAAAAGTTGTACAGATAGTAAAAAAAAATTGCACATTGCTGTGCGTGTCATGTGGATGACAATATGCTTATAGCATTTAATTTTTTGTATTTATAGGAGGAAAGAATGGAAATGATTTCTGAAAGATCAAAAGAGAGTGTGTATTCCTGGAACAAAACTGCAGAGAAAAGTGACTTTGAAGCCGTAGAAGCACTTATGTCAATGAGCTGCAGTTGGAAGTCTGATTTTAAGAAATACATTGAAAGCAGACCCGTTACTCCAGTGTCTGATATGTCAGAGGAAGAGAATCTGCTTCCTGGTACACCTGATTTTCATACAGTCCCAGCATTTGTAAGTATTGTTGCTTTAAAGATGAGTGTAAATGAGAATTTCTTATAATTTATATAATGAACTCTACTGTTCTTCACGCTGTTGCCTGTATTTCTCTGCCCTAGTGTTTGACTCCACCTTACAGTCCCTCTGACTTTGAACCCTCTCAAGTGTCAAATCTGATGGCACCAGCGCCATCTACTGGACACTTCAAATCATTGTCAGATACTGCCAAGCCTCACATTGCTGCTGCACCTTTCAAAGAGGAGAAGAGCCCAGTACCTGCCCCCAAACTCCCCAAGGCTCAGGCAACAAGTGTGATTCGTCATACAGCTGATGCCCAGCTGTGTAACCACCGATCTTGCCCAGTGAAAGCAGCCAGCATCCTTAACTATCAGGACAATTCTTTTCGAAGAAGAACCCACCTAAATGCTGAGACTGCAAGAAAAAACATACCTTGTGCAGCTGTGTCACCAAACAGATCCAAACGTGAGAGAGACACAGTGGCAGGTGTTGAAGAGAAAGTAAGTGCTGCACTTTATGACTTTTCTGTGCCTTCCTCAGAGACAGTAATCTGTAGATCTCAGCCGGTCCCCATGTGCCCACAACAAAAGTCGGTCTTAGTCTCTCCACCTGCAGTATCAACAGGGGGAGTGCCACCTATGCCCGTCATCTGCCAGATGGTTCCCCTCCCTGCAAACAACCCAGTTGTGACAACAGTCGTCCCCAGCACTCCACCCAGTCAGCCGCCAGCCGTCTGCCCACCTGTTGTATTCATGGGCACTCAGGTGCCCAAAGGCGCCGTCATGTTTGTTGTACCCCAGCCCGTTGTTCAGAACCCCAAGCCTCCAGTGGTGAGCCCAAATGGCACCAGACTCTCTCCCATTGCCCCTGCTCCAGGGTTTTCTCCTTCAGCAGCAAAAGTCACTCCTCAGATTGACTCATCAAGGATAAGAAGTCACATCTGTAGCCATCCAGGATGTGGCAAGACGTACTTTAAAAGTTCTCATCTGAAGGCCCACATGAGAACGCATACAGGTACCAACCATTTCTTATTTCATATTTAAGTCTTAGAAATTTGGATGAAGGTTTTTTGGCAATGATCGCAAATGTAAACCAGGCATGTTAAGGAAGAACTTGCCTTATTAGCCACTCTAGTGGATGGTATTTACCAGTGCAAGGTCTTCTAAAAGATTTCATCAAGGTGTTTTTGTTTTAATTTCTCAAATGATGATTCTTTAAATGTCTAATAAAGTATCTTAAATATGATTTAATATGTAACTTAACAGCGGCTTAATAAATGCATAATAATAATAATATGACTTATTTTGTTTCAGGAGAAAAACCTTTTAGCTGTAGCTGGAAAGGTTGTGAAAGGAGGTTTGCTCGTTCAGATGAACTGTCCAGACACCGACGAACCCACACAGGTGAGAAGAAATTCGCCTGTCCCATGTGTGACCGGCGGTTCATGAGGAGCGACCATTTGACCAAACATGCCCGGCGCCATCTGTCAGCCAAGAAGCTACCAAACTGGCAGATGGAAGTGAGCAAGTTAAATGACATTACCCTACCTCCAACCCCTGCTCCCACACAGTGACAGACGGATGGTAAAGAATCAGACTAACTTTGGTCACAGCCAGAAGCCAGTGGTGATATAAAAATGCTTCCACTGCAAGTCTGTGGCCCTCCAGTGCGGGCTGCAAGCAGAAGCCCCACGGCCTGGGGAGAAGGCCCAGCCTGGGTTAGATGGTAAGAAGTGCTACGGCCACAGGCAGCTCAAAGAGTGGCAGGACTCATTTCTTACCACGTAAGAGAGATGAGAAAGTTTATTCCTTTCAATATTTTTTGAAGGTTTCAGGTGAGGTCAGCCCAACCACAGGTAGCACAGATTTTGAATTTGTGTGCACAATTTGTTACTTTACTTTCACCATTTATACTTGAGACCAACTTTTCAATGTGATTCTTCAAAAGCACTGGTTTCAAGAGTGTAGAGACTGGAAGTAAACATTACGGTACAGAGATGGAGATGTAAAATTGATCTGTATTATCGCGAATATTATTATCCTTTCCTAGAGTTATCTTGTTTACTATTCTTAGTCTTTCCATTCAACTTCGTGGACATAGTTGTTAAATATATCTAGAACTAGCATTTTTACACTAGTTGCTGACGTTTGGAATTGAGCAACTGTATATTGCTGAAGAGGTCCCAAAGAATTGGAATCCTCATTAATTTAATTGCTTTGAAGTGTTGCTTCAGGGTTTTTTTTGCGTTTTTGTTTTAAAAGTTTAACAAATGACTATAACTAGGCATTTTATTATGCTTTGAACCTTAGTTGGCTGCAGTTCCCTGTGTAGATTTGAAAATTGTATACCAATGTGTTTTCCGTAGACTCTAAAATACACTGCACTTTGTTTCGAAAAAAAATTGAAGATGAAAACACATATTGTAAAGAAGGGATATTAAGAATTTTAGATAACTCCTTCAAAAAGATGGCTTAGGACATCAGTAAAGTACCCTTATGTTATGAGGATATAACATGTGCTTTATTGAATTAGAAAGTGAGTGAACATTATTCACAAGTGGACAAATGTCCTGTTAATTTATAGAAGTTTTTTTGGGGGGGGGAATGTGGAAGTAGATAGGTAGAAAAATAATTAGGACATTCACTTTTGTTAACAGTATTTCTGTTATATTCTGTTTTGTATAGTGGATGATATATACAGTGGTAAAACAAAAGTCAATTGTTTAAAATATATAGTGAAAAATGTCATTATGTCTTTCCATTTAACATTTTTCTCTATATTGGGTGTAGATTTCTGCCATCAAAACTTTGGACTCTTGGAAAACAAAAAAAGAATTTTCTTTTAATAAAAAAAATCCTTGTGATTTACAATTTGCACAATATTTCTTTTGTTGTACTTTATATCTTGTTTACAATAAAGAATTTCCTTTGGTATATATATAATTGGTTGATTGTATTTGTTGAAAACCATTCTCACTCTGACCTTGACATTGATCACTGTGGTGCTCTCCAAAGACTTATGGTCTGAATTTCTCTAAGGGCCTCATTCAAATTTAGAACTGTAGGAGTATATATTTAACATGAGTAATCAATTTAGACAGTATGCAAAGCAAGGCCAGGGAATTCCTTGATGGTCCAGTGGTTAGGACTTGGCACTCTCATTGCCAGGGGCCCAGGTTTGATCCCTGGTCCAGGAACTAATATCCTGCAAGCCATGTGGCACAGCCAAAAAAAATAATAATAAAATCTAATTAAAATACACACACAAAGCAAGGCCAGATATCTACCATTTTAAAACATTTTTGTATGTTTTGATGATGTGGGGTTGAAATATATTCTGTCTCTCAGCAAAACCTTAAGTAGCACTGAGTTAAAGGGAACACCACATGAGTAATTACAGTAATGACTGCTGTGAAATGAAAAGAAGCCTGACCTATTAAAGAGTAAATTACTTCTAGAAGTTAGATTAACTCAGACCATTCAGTGATACGTTAAATGCAATAAACATGCTAGTACTTCAGCTGCCTGAAAGCCAATCCACCTCTGAAGAGAAATACTTGCCAGTCACTTGCCAGTGGAACTAGGAGCTGTAAATGCTACTTAGTGTATGGCATATAATTTTGGAGATTAGTATTTTAATTTGCTCTGAGATTACCTTGTCATGAGAGAACATCTTCAACGGTGCCCAGCTGTTGAGTGCCATGGTAAGGGACAGTGTGCTTGCTTGGCACCAGCTGTAGGACAGGCATCCTGAGCCATCCATGTACCTGCTGATCCTTTTCTTGGAAACTTACACCACCTAAGCACAGCACAGATGCTGGAGGGGACCTTGCCGTTCTGTAGTTTCTGTGTTGGGACCTGGACCATCCTAACCGCTAGAGTTCCTCATGGTGGCAGGTCTTCAGAAGTGGGAATGAAGGAAGGTGGCTGAAGTAATCTCTGCCTGTTCCAAAGCCCAGTCCCTTGTAATGACAAAGCCAGTGGAACTGTGCCACCCATTGCTGTGTTCTTCCCAGTCCTAGTTGACGCCTGACGCTTTTCCTTAGAAATATTGTAAATCATTTGAATAGAGTATTATATAAGAGTTGAATGTTGATACAGACTCTGATCTTGATGCACAAGTTGTCCCCCAAACAAGTACATTTGTAGCATGTTATGATAATGTGGTTTTAGTGTAGCTTTAGCATGTCAGTTTTGGTTGTTTCTTGTCTGATTTATATATTAAGTTGAACTATATGAAATTGCTGATATTCAGCTCTCTTAACAGTTAATTCTTCTTAGATAATTGTAGACTTAGAGAAAGTTGCAAAAGTAGTTACCATATACCCTTCATCTAGCTTCCCCTTTAGATAACATCTTCCATAGCCATAGAACATTTAAGAAAATGAAGAAATTAACTTCAGTACAATATTACTAGCTGAAGTACAGACCTTATTTGGGTTTCACTGGTTTTTCTACTCATGTCTTCTTGCTATTACGGGACCTAATCCAGGGTCTCAAATTGCATTTAGTTGTCAATCTCCGCAGTCTCCTCCAATCTGTGGTTATGCGTCAGTCTTCTCTCATCTCTTTGGAAGAGTACTTGTCAGTTATTTCTGCCCCTCAGTTTGGGTTTGTCTGATGTTTTTTCATGATTAGATTGAGGTTATGCATTAATTGGGAAGATACCACAGAGCGGTAATGTCCTCAGTGCATGATATCAAGGAATAGGGGATGTCATTCTGTATTATGGGAGATGTTAGCTTGCATCACATGGCTAAGGTGGTGATATCTGCTGGAATTTTCCACTGTAAATTGACTCTTTCTTGCTTTATTAAATATTTGGATGGAGGTACTTTAAGACTACACAAATAACCTATGTCAACTTTTTCCCACTCATTTTAGTATCCTTAAGTGGATCTTGCCTGAGACAGTTACTACTGTGATATACTAATGGTGATTTCCTATTTCCTCCATTATTTATTCATTGGAATTTTCTGTAAGAAAGAGTTGTTACTTCTCTCCCATTTATTTATTTATTCCGTTTTTTATGTCAGTATGGACTCATGGACATTTATGTCATTATTTGGGTTATAATACAATACTATTCTTATTTCGTGACTCAACTATTCCAACTTTAGCCCTTATTAACTCCTTCAATATTCAACCATTTTTGATTGACAAAGATGGAAATTTCATACAGTTCAACCTATCATTTCTCCCTGGAATGAGAGCTGTTTGGTATTAGTAAGCAGACTTTTAAAACGTTGTCTCTACCTGCATTGCTACTACCCTGTCTAATCCACCCTCTCCTGCTTGGACAACTGCAGCAGCCCCTAAACTAGTCTCTCTGCCTCGGGTCTTGTCTCCCCACCATCCTCTCTCCTTACCACAGAGTCTTTTGAAAATGCACATCTGACAATGTCACTTCCCTGTTTAAAATGCTTCAGACCCTTCCCAATGCTCTCAAGGCTGTCGGAGAGAAATAGAATGTGAGTCACATGGGGAATTTGAAATTTTCTAGGAGCTACGTCAGAAAATAAAAACAGAAAAAAGCAATTTAAATGTTTTTATTTAACCCATAATATTATCATTTCAGCATATAATCAATATAAAACTGTTAATGAGATACATCACATCTTTTTTTTGTACTAATCTTTGAAATCCAGTATATATCCTATGCTTATAGCACCTCTCAATTGGGACTCACCACATTTCAGGTGTGGCCAGTGGCTGCTGAAGTGTCCCAAGCAGACCTAGAAGACCCTGCACCATTCAGCTGCTCCCAATCTCCCAACCCACCCCCACCTTATTCTCTACATCCTGTCCAAGCTCTGAGCTGTCACATATGCTGTTTTGTCTGCTGGAAATGTTTCCCTGCCCTTTTACCTTGACATTTCTGCTATCATAATAATCATTACCCTTTACTGAAATTGCTTAATGTCTGTAAAACTCCCCAAGGATAAGCACCCTGTGGATCTTGCTCGCTGCTGTATCTTCTGGAGATGTCCAACTGACTTTTTCCCCCCCAGTGGAAGGAATAAAACTAAATAGGGCCAGATAAATGAGGTTGTTTTAAGCTTCCCTTGCCAGTTGGCATCCTAATCTTGACAGAGATTTAGAAATTCATGATGCTCTACTCAATGGATGCCAGCTATCCCAGTTTGAACTTGATTGACCAGCTTGGCAGTGGGATGCTAAAGGGGGGGAGTACCCCCAAATATAAGAAAGTGACACCTTATCTTTCTTTGATTTCCTTGAAATAATTTAATTTTTAATTCTAAGTTTAGCCACTAGTCAGTGGAGGCACTGCTTGGGTTGGGAAAAATCTGAATGAGATTCAAGGAAGAAAATGAAAAGCTAAGAAATAACATGAAGTGTAGGGTAGGCTGGGGTAGAAGCAGTTTTCTATTTCTATGATTAGATTATCTGGACCTTGAATATCAGTTTCCAAAAGGCATCCTTTTAGTTTGAACAGATAAGTATTGAGTGTTTTTTGTTTTGTTCTGTTTTAAGTATATATATATATATATATATATACATTTTATTTATTTATTTATTTATGCATGCATGCTGCGCCAGGTCTTAGTTGCTGCATGTGGACTCCTAGGTGTGGCGTGCATGCGGGATCTAGTTCCCCGACCAGGGATCAAACCCGGGCCCCCTGCATTGGGAGAGTGGAGTCTTACCCACTGGACCACCAGGAAAGTCCCAGTATTGTTTACTGGGGAATTCCCTGGTGATTCAGTGGTTAGGATTCTGAGCTTCCACTGCAGGGGGCCCGGGTTCAACCCCTGGTCGGGCAACTAAGATCCCGCATGCCTGGCAGTGCGGCCACACACACACAAAATAAAGTATTGAGTGTTTATTACCCAGGGACAAAGTAAAACAGTGTGGCCTTGGGAAAGGAAACTTCTGGGGTCAAGGAGCTTGTGCACTGAACTGACTAATTATGAGCTAAACAATTTGACTATTTCATGGTTCAGTTTTATTATCTATAAATTGGGGATTATAATGCTTATCTGACTTGCTTCCCAAGGTAGAATTAGATCTGAAAACTGAGAAAAACAAGCAAACAAATGCTAGGTGGACCACTGCAATACCAGTGATGGGGATTGCACTATCACGCTCAGATCAGTCATTGACAGAAAAGGCCCCTAGAGGTGGGGCTAGCAATCTGATGTCAGTTAGAAATGGTCATAATGTGTTTCCTGTTAGGGACGAAGGTCAAATTGCAAACGTTCACAAAATTGTTTACAGTTCTGGAGGCTAGAGGTCCGAGATCAACGTGTTGGCAGGGTTGATTTCTTCTGAGGTCCCGCTCCTTGGCTGGTAGATGGCCCCCTTCTCCTTGTGTCTTCACATGGTCTTCCCTCTATGTCTGTCTGTGTCCTAATCTCCTCTCCTTTTAAAGACACCAGTCAGATTAGGGCCCACTCCAATGACCTCATTTAACCTTAATTAACTCTTTAAAGTTTCTGTTTTCAAGTACAGTCACATTTTGAGGAGGTACTGGGAATTAGGACTTCAATGTATGAATTTTGAAGCGACACAATAATATTGCCTATGTATTACATATATATACAAATAGTATTGCCCATAATATTGGTCAACATATGTCAGTCTATATTGGTCCATCTTAATACACTTATAGCAGTATTTTCTAAACTAGTCTTAAGTTTCTATTTCCAGTATCTGGAAAATTTCCTATGAGAGCTAAATACTTTTAAGGCCTACCGCATGTCACACAGTGCAGTGACATCATGCCCAGTGCAGTGTGTGATTCCTGGCCATTCAGGAGACATATTTTTCAATTGTGCACTCAGGTATTTCTTAGTCATGGAATACCCTTTATCCTAAAGAAAGTTTTCCTTCATTACATACCTGTAAGCATTATTTGTGACAATGGACATAGATCAGATTCAGAATCCTCTCTCTGATCCCAACAATAATGTGAACAGAATAGTCATCATGATGGTCTTTTGTTATCCATGTTTAGATTTGTTCAATTTGATTTTTTCTAAGGGATTATATATTCTCATCTCCAATTTAAATTTAGTTCAACCAGGAAAATTTAGTCAAGGCTGTAGTCAGCCTTGCTGGTTGTGGATATAACCTAGCCATGAGGCCTCCTATGCTATTCATCACCTCCATTCTGTTCGTTGTCAGTGTGGTTCAAATCACAATGGTTTTCAAACAGAAAGGGAACCTGGTCCCCATCCCTGTAGTTCATCCAATAGTTCAGGCTCTCTGCTTTTCAGACACACGGTAGCATTGGACTTCTCCCTTGTGGCAGGGTGGGGTCCAGCCTGCTCAATGGCTTGGAATGGAAATGACATGTGTCACTTCTGGTCCAGAGTATTTAACTGACAGTGTTCAGCCCTCTAGAGCTCTCTTTCCCTCTACTGTGGGGACCAGCAATATTTCAGCTAGTCAACCTTAGCTCTGGAAAGAGTATGACAAGGAGCATGAGTAAGAACTAAACCTCTGTAGTTTTAAGACATTGTGAATTGGGGGATTGTTTGTTGCTGCGGCATAACCTTGACTTATAAAGGTATACTGGCTGATACTATCACTTTTGTTTCCTGAGACTGCTTTGCTCCAAGTGAATTGATTCACCTCCCTCCAGGGGCCACTTCTATATATCATGTTAAGGGGGATGACCTTAAAGGACCAAAAGACCTGAGACACTTCTTCCCCCATAACAATGAGTGTCTTATATTTGCAGAACTAAGAGCAGCCAAGTCCCAGGTCCTGGATCCTGAACAAGGAGGCATTGCTGCATGGTGCTTGGTGGTGTCTACGTTGTCTACCTGGACAGAGTAGCAAGCCCCTCAGCCCTCTCCCTTCACATACCACCATCATCCTGGTTGCACTGGTGGAAAACAGGCAAAGGTGATGAGCCACTGTGATGATGCTGTTTTAGATAACTCACTAGACCTTCTGGAAGTAATTCCTTAATCTTGAGATTCACAAGTGTTTAATGGGGGTAAACTACTCCTTTCACCTGAAGCATCATGTGTGTAGGAAGGAAGGCTGAGGCTAGAATCCTCTGCGAGATGCTGAAGCAATCAGAGAAGGGTGGGCAGGTATCTCCCAGCATTTTGTCCTTAACGGCTCTAAGGACTAGGAAAGAAAGAGCATGGGGCTGGCAACAGCTGCCTTATGCCTGGTTTTGATGGTGAGGATATCACAAATGCTCAAAGAGTAAAATGTTGATCTCCTTCCCTAAATATTTTCAGAAGGCAGTGTGGTATGGTGGTTAAAAGCATAAGCTCTGGACTGTTAGTTTTCAGATCCTAATTCCACCATTTACTGGCTATGTGGTTTAAAGAAAGTTAGGATTAAGTATGGGGATGAAATGAACTGGCATATATGAAGCACTAGGAATGCCTGGCACATCGTGAACATGACATTTAAGTGTTTATGAGAGTGATGATATCTGCATTTCAAATGCCCCAGCCACAAGGATCCTGTCTGGGTATAAGATTAACCTATTTGGGAATTCTGCCTTAAGGGACCAAAAAGGGGGTTCTAATGAAGGATGTCATAGGCAGTTTTTGGAGTGACACCTGTGCTGTTTGATCATAAAGACTTCAAGGTTTGACAAGACAGCTGAGTCCCTGACTATCGCATACGATGAGCTAAACCTAGCCGACTTCTTCTCGCTAGGCCTGTGGGTTGGGTAAAGAGGTCTTTGACCATTTTTTCTGAACATGAATGTTTTGGATTGTTTGGGTTTGTTTTCAGGCTTTCTTTGGCAACTGTGAAGTAAATCCTTTTCAACGGGTGTCAGTGTGGCCATGCTCAAACCACCCTGCCTTTCTTGGCCAGTGTTGTAGGCACTCTGGGTGGCCTCTGCAGCAAACACCAGTCACTGCAGGAGAGACATGGTGTAAGAACTTGGCCCTGGCCCTGGATCCTCTCTTCCGGTTTGGCTGGTTTAACACTGAATCTGCCCAGTGGCCATGTGTGGGATAGGTTTAACAGGCAGGAACTGCTTCAGGTCAGACTGGTCCTAGGAGGCTCAGCCCAGCGCCGCCCCTCCCCACCCCGGCTAAACTACCAGAGGGATCCCAGGCCAACTAGAAGATCAGGGTGAGCCTTAAGGTATCAATTCCTTTTGCCTCTGCTTGGAAAAGTTACAAACAAGCTATTCTGATTCTAGGTTCAAATCATGGCTTTCCCCCCTTACCAGATCTTGGGCATACTGTTTAACTTCTCTGAGCCACAATTTTCTCACGTGTAAAATGAACATGATACTAATACTTACCTCAAACCAACTTGTTTTAAGGATGTTTGACACAGGAGGTGCTGGAGAAAAGTTAGTTAGCATTATTATCTTAACTCCCACCTCCCTCCCCATCGCAATAGCCTCCTGTCAATGCCTGTTTCTGCTCTCATTACTTCTCTTGTCTAGAAATATCTCTTTCCTCTCCACTGAACATAGACCATCTTGTTCACTTTTAAAGGTCATTTCAGGGCAGGAAAGGGGAAGGGCCCATCCCAGAACTACTTGGGATTAGTCTGTATTTGTTTGCCAGGGCTGCTGTAACAAAGTACCATAGACTGGGTGGCTGAAACAACAGAAATGTATTGTCTCACAGTTCTGGAGACCAGATGTCTGAGGTCAAGGTGTTGGCAGGATTGGTTCCTAACGAAGGCTGTGAAGGAGAATCCGTTCCAGGCCTCTCCCCTCGCTTCTGGTGGTTTGCTGGCCATCTTTGCCATTCCTTGGGTTACAGAAGCATCTCCCCATTTCTGCCTTCATCATCACATGGCATTCTCCCTGTGTGTGTGTCTCTGTGTCCAAATTTCCCCCTTTTATAAGTACATCAGTCATAGTGGAATAGGGCCTACCGGAATGACCTATCTTAACTATTAGCTCCCCGACAACCCTATTTCCAATAAGGTCACGTTCACAAGTCCTAGGGGTTAGGACATGTGAACTGGGTTTGTGTGGGAGAGGGTTACAATTCAACCCAGAACAGGGTCCAATTACTAAACCTGGGTTTCCTCCCCAGGATTCCCATGCCAGCCTCTGGGCGCTGGGGACCCCACCTTCTTTCCTCTCCTGCACGTCCCGCACCCCTCTCTCCCTGCTCGTTTTGGTCTGACCACTGCCTGGGACTCCTGGTCTTTGCTGTTTCCTGAGACAGACTCAAAGGACAGGCTTTCCATGCAATTGACTAGTGAGCAGCAGATGGATGCCCACATAAGGAAAGACCTGAGCCCATGGAGAGGTCAGGGATCCAAGGAAGGCTGCTGGATCCCTGCATTCCTGACATCCAGGCTCTCTTCCCCGGGGAGGAGGTAACATATAGGGAGGGTGTGCCGGCCACCCTGGAAACCATACTTTCTTTAACCTTAAGATTCTTTTGGAAGAGTGAGTCCAGGGTCTCAAACCCAAATGTCTACACGAAGAGTTGGGCAGATCCTATAAAGGAAACAAGTCTCATGTATAGGAAATGAGCAGAGATGGCCAAGGTGCTAATGTTGCTGTGTGGGAAGACAATTTTGTGGAATAGTTTTTGGGTTTTTTTTTTTACATTTTTTAATTGAAATGTTTCTTGAGATAATTATAGATTCACATACAATTATAGGAAATAATACAAAGAGATTCCTCATGTACTTTGCCCAGTATTCTAATTTTTCAAAGAAGCAGGAAATCTAGACCTTTTATACATTTTTTTATTGTGGTAAAATATACATAAAATTTTACCATTTAACCATTTTAAGTATACAATTCAGTGGCATTAAGTACACTCACAATGTGATATAATATCATCACTCTCCATGGAAATCTAGATTTCTGTATCCAATGTCCTGATTTTTAACTTTTGGCATCTAATTCACAGGACCATAAACCCTTTATGTTGGCTGGTTGCCAGTTTGGAACTTCTAAGCGCATTAAGTGATGATGTGCTATTTTGTCTTGGGATGGTCGAGGTTGTGGGATTGCTGGGAAAGACAGGCCCCCAAACTGGAGTTTTGATGCTTGAGGCCAATGGGCCAAAGTTTCTAGGGTGTTGGGGGGATGTCCCCTTGGAGGAACTGGGACCCTCCAGGAGCAACTGCCGAGTTCACTGACCAGCACTCAGCATAGGCATCACATAGACAGCTCATCTGTTTTCGTCTGAACTAAGTGCGTGCCAAGGTTTCTTGCACAGAATGAGTGAAGGGAGCCTCCAGAAGCATTGACTTCAGGCTTTTCCCCACCTCAGTAAGAAGCTGGATAGATTGGATTTGATTGATAAAACGTGACCTCCTGGGACTTCCCTGGTGGTCCAGTGGTTAAGACTTCGCCTTCCAGTACAGGGGGAGTGAGTTCGATCCCTGGTCAGGGAGCTAAGATCCCACATGCCTCGTGGCCAAAAAACCAAAACATAAAACAGAAGCAATATTGCAACAAATTCAATAAAAACTTTAAAAATGGTGCACATCAAAAAGTCTTTAAAAAAAAAAAAAAAAGACCTCCTGGCATGCTTAGTATCCTGGAGTGGTTTGTGGCAGTTACCAGTGAGATCTGTTACTGGGTTTCCTGTCCCATGCTCCTGACTCCAGCCCCGTGTCCACTCCCAGGGTAGTCCCTGGGGGCCGTTTGAACCCCTGTCCTCCTTGTTTATTTCCAGGAACCGGGCTCATCAAAGTCCCCTTCTGCTTTTGATCTGCATGGAGAAAAGGCCCTGAAGACCTGCTCCCCTGGGGATGGACTGCCTTAGGAGCAGAAGTTGAGGTGTGGACGCTGCTGGCACACACTGTCTGAAGGCCCAGCCAGGCGGTGGGAGAGGGTTCCTCCCAGAGGGTGTCAGAGGATGGAGGGGAGCCAGCGGAGCAACCGAGGCAGAGCAGAGGTAGGAATGAGGCCTGTAAGGCCTGCAGAGAGGGCGGCAGAAGGTCGGGAAGGGTTGATGGGGCCAGAGTCTGAGTCTCAGCAAGGGGAAGGAGTTGGAATTTGAGGAATTCTGGGTTTCTGTTGGGTGGATTTTTGTCCCCATTTGGTTCATTCTGACCCCTCCTCTAGTTGGACCATGGGCAGCTTGGATGTCACCCGTTCTTTTTTTTTTTTAAGATGTTGGGGGTAGGAGTTTATTACTTTATATATTTATTTTTGCTGTGTTGGGTCTTCGTTTCTGTGTGAGGGCTTTCTCTAGTTGTGGCAAGCGGGGGCCGCTCTTCATCGCGGTGCGCGGGCCTCTCACTATCGCAGCCTCTCTTGTTGCGGAGCACAGGCTCCAGACGCGCAGGCTCAGTAGTTGTGGCTCACGGGCCTAGTTGCTCCGCGGCATGTGGGATCCTCCCAGCCCAGGGCTCGAACCGGTGTCCCCTGCATTAGCAGGCAGATTCTCAACCACTGCCCCACCAGGGAAGCCCCACCACCCGTTCTTAAGATGCTTACCTGGAGCCCCATCCTTTCCGTTACATTTTCTCAGGCTTCTCTGCCCTCCCGGCCAGTCTCTCTATTTCCTCATGGTCCACTGTCCTAAGTTTCTCAGGCCCTAGCTAAATCCTGTCCTGACCTGTTGTCACGTTGACCCATAACCCATTGTCACCTTCTCTGGGAACTGTCACCTCTCTGGGCAGGGACAGTATCTGCTGCTATTTTTGTCTCACTCCCTGGGCAGATCTTTGGGCTGGGCCAATAGGAATGGACTCAACCCAGTGAACTACCCAGGACTCTCCCTCGACTTCCCTGCAGGAATGGAGGGATTTATTGCTGGCACAAATGACCCTCCAAGACTTCTCTGGACCACAGGCTCCCAAGAACATTCTCAGAGCCAGAAAAAAGAAGGAAGGAAAGGAAGTAAAATGGATAGTGGGCTTGGGGTGGGGGGAGCCCCACACCTGGATTCCAGGGAAACGTCACTGGGCTGAAACCTCCTCCACATTAGCTGGTAGGCAGTGCCCCTGGCTGGCACCCCTGCCCGCAGGTGGGTGCCTACATTCATGGAGCACAAACTGAGGATGACGTGGCCTTGTGGTTGCAGTAACCTTTTTCTGACAGCAGAGGGGGCACTTCAATCCTTACCTGTGAGCTCTGTCTTCACTGGCGAATTCTATGGCAGCAGAACGCTGCATCCAGCCCGCTGTCTAGGGAGCCCATTGGAAACCAGACATCCATATAATGTCCTGGCTTTTAGGGTCGGACAGGGGCGGGGACACGTGTGTGTGTAAGAGAGAGAGACTGAAACATGTTACGTGATGAGCATTAATATTGAATTTTGCTTTCCTTTGGCTACACACAAGTGTTTATTGTGGTCTTACTCTGTGCAGGCACCGTCCCCAGGGATATTCTAAAACGCAGATCTTGAAACCCACTACTGAGAGTCACCCCACTGTCCACAGGGCGGGGCCCAAACGTCTCACGGCATCCAGGGCATTTCACAATCTGACCTTAGCCTCCTGTTCCAGAATCATCCATCACCACAGCTCCCACGATCTACAGAGGCCAGGGGCAGAGTGTCCACAGAATGCATTCCTGCCTCCAAGGAGCTCAGTGCTGGGATGGGCAGGGGCCTTGTCACACCACCACAGATCAAGTCTACCTGGCCAGGCTCCCTGGAGAGGGCCACTTATACTGTGCATGGTGACAAGAGCTGAGGCAGCTGGAGTCCTGGGCAGTGGAGCCCAGCCTGCCTCTCGGATACTCCAGCTCCGGGCCCATCCTCCCTGGCTTCATGCTTCCTCTCCTGTCCTCTGGACCAGGCTGCTGCCACTTTCCCTGCCCAGCCCCACAGCGGGCAAGGGGTTTCCTCTTGGAGTGGAGGACGCCTCTCAGCCACATGTTGTGTGCTTCCACCCAGGAGGGGCAGAAATGGGGAACTCGCCCTGGGTTTACGTATCCTTCCTGCTTCAGGCCTCTACTGGTGCAACCAGGAGAGACAGCGCTGATGGGGGTACCCGCAAGGTGCTGGCAGAGTGCAGGCTGGGCCCCTGGCCCCCAGTTTTGTTTTGTTTATCTGGAGGGAAAGGGTCTGATTCTCAGCTTCCCAGTTCTGACAACAGAACTCATCAGCGTGTTCAGTGAGTGACTAGAATGATAAATTCCGCAGGACCACCGTGCAAACTAGCATGTCAATTTATTGCTTTATGCGTGGTGGTGATGGTGGCAATGGACGGAGGGTATTGAAGATCGCTTTGGCCAGCCGCTGTAACAGTTAAATCCAGAAAACAGAGGTTTACCACAGTTAACGTGACCTCTGCCCCACAGGTGTTCCTGCCCCTTCTTAGCAGTGATTCAGGAATCTAGGCTCATTCCATCTTGAGGCTCCTTTGGCCTCAGCAAGATGACCCGAGCAATTGTCTTCACGCCAGCCAGCCTGACAGGGAAAGAGCAGGAAAGTTGTACGTGGGAGGAGCTTATCCTAGAGCTGCTGTAACAAATTACTACAACCTGGGCAGCTTAAAAGAAAAATGTGTTCTCTCACAGTTCTGGAGACCTGAAATCCAAAATCAGGGTGTCAGCAGAGTTGATTCCTTCCGGAAGCTCTGCAGAAAAATCTTTTCCATGCCCCTCTCCTAGTTTTGGGGGGTGTCTACCAATCCTTAGCATTCCTTGACTTACAGAGGCATCACTTCAATCTCTGCCTGTGTTTACACGCCCTTCTCCCCTGTGTGTCTGTCTGTCTTCTCCTGTGCTGTCTTACAAGGATACTTGTCATTAGATTTAGGACTCGCTCTAATCCAGGAGGATCTCATCTCAAGATCCTTGCCTTAATTACATCTGTAAAGATGTTTCTTCCAAATAAGGTCACTGTGACATAAGAACTATATATTTGGTCTCTGCCCCCAGTTCCTGACACAGAGCTCCTAAATCTCTAGGAATTTCCTGGGTGACAGGAGCATCGTTTGTTCTAATGAGGTGACTCTTGTTGGGCAACTGGATGATTCCGAATGGGGGCTGGTCACCAGAAAGTCCAAGTCATGATTAGAAGCTTGGAGTTTTCAGTCCCATCCCCATTCCTCTGGGCAGGGGAGAGGGACTGGAGATGAGGTGATAATGGATCATGCCTACATGATGTAGTCTCCATAAAAGATCTTCCGGGTTGGTGAGCAGATCCATGTGCTGGGAGGGTGTTGCACTCCAACTCCATGGGGGCAAAAGCTCCTGCACTTGGGACCGTCCAGACCTCAACCTATGTACCACTTCATCTGGCTTGTTCACCTGTATCCTTTATTATATCCTTTACAGTAAACCAGTAGATATAAGTAAGTTCTGTGAGCAGTTCTAACAAATTCTCAAACCTGAGGAGGGGGGTCATGGAAACTCCCAATTTATAGCTGATTGGTCAGAAGTACAGGTGACAACCTGGGACTTGCAATTGGTATCGGAAGTGGGGGACAGTCTTGGGGGACTGAGCCCTTAAGCTGTGGCGTCTGTGCTCATTCCAGGTAGTTAGTATTAGAATTGAGTTAACTTAGAGGACACCCAGTTGGTGTCCACTGAGAACTGGAGAATTTGTTGGTTTGGGAACCACCATCCCGCACATATTTGGTATCAAAAGTATTCTGTGGGCATAGAAAAAGTTTTCTTTTAATTACATTCTGAGGTTCTGGGTGGACATGAATTCTGGGGGACACTGCATTCCACTACAGGGACATACCTGGGTATGGTGCCCTTCTCGTGCCCACTTTCCAGAAAGTAGTCACATGGCCTAATTACGCTGGAAAATGTCATCTGGTTGTGCCCAGGATGACTAGAAAACTGGTTTGGGGAAGAGCTACCAGTTTCTGCCACGTGGGGGAGGGTCCTTGTCCAGGACCAGGAAGCTCAGGCTTCCAGGGGGAGGAATGACTCTCCCTTCGGCAGAACTTACTAATCCTTCCAGGTCCCACCGCACCTGCCATGGCCTTGCAAGCCCAGCGTCTGCTCCCAGAACTTGCCAGGCTCTGGGAAGAATCTGGGCTGCAGAGATGGTCCCTGGGGGCTCTTAAGAAGTGCTGCCCCCTGGGGTTCCAGGAGGGAGGAAGGGTGAATGGTGTAGTGGGGTGGAGCAGAGAGAGGTGAGTGCCCTGGGAGACTTTGAGAGAGAAATACCCCTCACCCCTGCCCCTACCCTGTCTCCCTGCAACTGACCCATTGATGCCTTAGGATTTCAGTGCCTTTGGGGAGAAGATGCCTCTGCTTCGTTATCGTGTCTCCAAAACTATGCAGAACCAGCTCTTTATCCTCTTTATCCTTTGCCAGGATTTTTTAAAGAAATGTTGTTCTTGGCTCACTTGGTTTTCAGTTCCCTAAACAGCACTTCTGAGCTGTCAAGCTTTTTAAAAGTGTTCTTAAGCTGAGACTAAACCCTACTTTTCTGGAAAAGCTACCTTGACTTCAGAGGAGATATTCTTTTCTCCCCATTCCTTTTTTTCTACTGCCTTCTTAACAATCCTTGTTCTCAAAGACGTTTGTGTTTTATTTTTTGCTTTCTGTCAAGACAAACTTCCCCCTGCCCACCCCTGCCCCCTGCCAAAAAAACCTTTCCTAGAACATAGGTGTTTCAAACCCATGCCAATGTTTTGTAGTTAGTATACACAGTTAAACTACACAGAAATCCCCCCAAGAGCCAGAGGTAAGCAACAACTTTACTTATTTGATTGGATGCCCTCCAAGTTTAGGAACATCCCATTTTTATTACCCAGCAGATAAGACAGAGCCCTGAATGGCTGTGGCTGTGATTAGATAACTTCTGATGTTTTCATTCCCTTGCTGATCTGCTGCTTCTAGGTTAAATTCATTTTGTTGCCTGTCCATTTTTAAAGAAAGACTGACAGAGTCACTCTAACAGATCAGGGGTCTGAGCTCAGAGTAGGTCAAAGGTAGTCACATGTAGGGAGATGGATAAAAATAGAAGGAGGGTTGGCA